CCAGTGCTCTTCCTATTATACCATCCACATACTGACTCAAAAAAATCCTTGGAAGCAACACAGTATGGATTGCTACTCTAAAGTTCCCAAAATGTCCCTTGACAAAGACACATAAAGGTCAGATGCACGATTTCTCTGCCCTAGTGGGACTTTTCTTAATACTTTGAGAATTGACTTTTTTTAAAAAAGGATTCAAAAGTGAGTGAACATGAGATGACTGTAATAACCATTCGAGGCCTGTACATGGGGCCAGGAAGCCCAAGGGCAGGGCAGGCAGGGCAGGCAGGTGTGGGGTGCTCGTGGACAGGGTGGAGCTGGCCAGCTGAGATTTATGCTCATGCATTCTGCTTCCCATGTGCCATTTCAGAGAGCCCAGCTGACGAAGAGGAGCAGTGGTCAGATGACTTTGTAAGTATTTGTTCCTGGGGCTTGGAGGGTATCATTTATAAAGACTTGTTCCTGAATGACATGCTGGCAGAGGGGAGATGGCTGGGCTGGAAGAGTCACCTATAGCCAAGGCAGCAATAACTTCACAGTGGCTGACGTGAGCTAGCACCACCATGCATTACCTCCTATAGTCCTCACCACAGCCTGTGAGTAGGCATTCTTATCCCTATTTCCTGCTGGCATTCAGAGTACTCACCAGCACAGCCAAAACAGACGTTAAAATGTTTAAATATATCCATATCAGTTGGCAGTGACTCTGCCCTGAACTCCCCAGTGGCCCATCACTGCTTGGTCCTAAAGAGAAACTGCCTGGCACACCAGGGAGTCTCTGGGACACTCTCAAGGTCATGGTCAATACCTGGGCCATAATAATTGTTAAACAGTGTGAGCATCAGTCCTGCCCATTTTACAGGTATAGAAACCAAGGCACAGAGAGTTTAAATAACTTGCAGTTCCAAAATTCAAACCCAGGCTCTCGGATCTTAGAACCAGGCTTTTAAAACCCAAGGTGCTTGTTGTGATTAAGAGGATGTGAACAGACTCTGGGGCCCACAGATTGGAAAGGAGACCTGACCACGAGGACATTGGGAGTGGTGTGACAGAATTAATTGTAAACCTCTTCAGGGTAGCTCTGCAACCCACAGGACCCCAGCGGCCACTTCCCTTTGGGGCTGAGTCTTACAGGGACAAGACATCCTAAAAACTATTCTTCACAAATTATTCTTCACGTGTCAAATTCATGCAAAATGTTAGTCTGCTCCAATCTGTGAGTTTTATCTCTGGAAGGCATCCAAGAGGGCCTCCACACAACCACATACCCCATAAGGAAATGAGGCAAGAGCATGAAGATGACTTGCCGGCTGTCACTTAGCAACTCAGTGACCCACTAGAATGAGAACCCAAGACTCCTGTCTGGTGCCCAGAATTGAGCCTGAGCCCAGTTCCACACCACGTACACCACCTGGAGTTCACTCAGAGTATTTGGAAATGTGACTTCCTCCCTTTTCAACTGCAGAGAAAAGATTTTTGAAAAGGAAGGATGAGAGGGCCTGTCTCTGGGTCACTTGGGCATGGAGTTCCTCCCAGGGCCCAGCAGCACTGATCCCTCAGAAGCACTGCAGCTACGCCCCCTGCTGGCCGCACACAGGGTGACATCCGAAGCAAAGTTAAGCTGATCCAACATCCACCAGGCAGCCAAAAAAATTGAGCTCACTGGCTGGATAAAAAGAGCACATGATGGGGGCTTAGAAAACACAAAATAAAATCATCCTGGAGAGGAGCGAATGATTTTGTGTTGCAAAGTCAAACAACCAAATGAAGGTGCCATGATAATAAGGACTGAGAGAACATTAGCTTACAATTATTTTTGCCTTATTACATTCCCTTTATACTCAGAATGAAATCCAGGCTTATTGCTAAAACCTCCGGGCCTGATGAAGTCTGGCCCCTGCAGACCTGTCCAGCCTTCCCCGCACCCCCTCAGCAGGGCCTTGCTCACTGCAGCCCAGGCGCACAGGCCTGCCCTCTGCTCTTACATCAGGCCAAGGTCCTGCCTGCCTTAGCAACTTTAGAGTCATGGTCCTTGGACAGGTGAAGGAAGATGAGAAGAGAGGAGAAACCAAAGAGCATCCGCATCCTTCCTCACTTGGTCTGCTCCCTCTCGTCCTTCGGGCTTAGCTTAATGTCTCCTTTTCAGGAAGGCCTTTCCAGCACCTCCATCCAAGGCAGGATCCTTCCTCCCATTGCTCTCTGTCTCAGGACCCTGATCATTCCCTTCAGTGCCTCTATCACCAGGGACAGCTATTTTATCTGTTTGATGGTCCACTTACTTATTATTCACTATTTGTTGTTGGTCTCTTCTGCTAAAATATAAGTTCTGTGAGGTCAGGGACTGTGCTCAGAGTCAAGCATGGTGGCTGGCACAGAGTAGACGTGTAGTACGTATTAAAATTGATTAAATGAATGAATGAATGGACAATTTGAGAAGGTTTTTGTAAAAGTCTGATTACAGATTGCCTTCTTCAGTTGCATCAGACTGTCCAAAGTATTGCACCTGCGCAAGTACTGAATGAATAAATGAATGAATCTTGTTTGTCATAATTTAGAATAATTTGGGGGAAGGGGATTTTTAAAACTATGTCAAAAGTTTAAACAGTTTCTCTTTTAATTCTCTTGATGAAAAGGCATTTGGTGCCTTCACTGTGCTTAAAATAGGAGGGACTCATGGCACGTCTCGCACTGAAAAGATTTTCCAAATGAAGGGCCAACTCAGCCCTTGCCGAGCACCCAGTCCCTCTTCCTCAGTCCCTTCAGAGCCTGGGACAGCAGCTCAGCTTATTCACTCATCCCGTGGATGTTGGGTGTGCGCCTACCCCGTGGCAGGTCCCATGCTGGCTCATAGATGAACAGTCTCAGTACGGTCCCCACGGGGGCACAGTCTGGGAGGCAGTCTGTGTCGGAGGACGGCTCCCAGGAACTGCTGAGGGGCCTCTCTTCTTCTCCCATCTCTGCCACCCCTGCCAACCTGGTCCTCTCGGTCAGGCTGCTCTGCCCGAGTGGCTGCAAGGACTCTGGGGTCTTCCCCGGGGTGCACACTGATCCTCAGCCTCCAGGTAACTAAGTCTAGGAAGACCATCCCTGCTCCACGAAAAGGGAAACAATGCCCAAACCATCCCCCACTCAGGCACATGTGTCTGGCTGCCCGCTGATTCTTTCACTTTCTGGATGTCTACTAAAGCAACTGCTTCTCAGCACTTGTACTGATATCTCCCTGGGGTGCTGCAACAGCAGCGAGGGGGTCCCCGGCCTGGATGAAGAGGGTCCCTGGCTTAAGAAGCCAGGCACTTGCCCTATTAAGCCTCCCCCAGCCCACCTTTTCACTCCTACTCCACTTCCCAGGCCCCCTGCCTGGGCGTCATCATTGGCTTCTCTAGAACACAGACCCCAGACTCAAATTACTCAATTTTTCTGTGCCTCAGTTTCCTCAACTGTAAAATGGGATTTAAAAAAAAAACTACCTCATGATTGTGGTGAGGGGTCAAGGAGGTAATGCAGTGCATAGAAATGTTAATTATAATAATAATCACTACTATTATCATTATTTTATTCAGCCTAATTTCATATTCATGTTCAGGAAGGATTATTGAGCTTCCCATCTGCTATTTCTGAGACAAGGGTTTGGGAAAATCCCCCCTACAGGAGCTTTCCTACCTACCCCCCTCCCCATCCCTTCCTGGCTCCCCGACTCCAGGGTGAGGACTAGCACCCTCCCTGGCTCCTTCCTCCTTTAGTCTCTCTCCCACCGCTCTTCCAGCCACCTCGGGAAAGTTCTCTTCGCAGCCTCCTTTCTCTTTCCTTAGCCCACTCTTCCTCCCCTTCCTCTCCTTTCCCCCATCTCCCTATGCACTGAGGAGGAAAGCCCAGTGCTCACTCATTGATTCCTTCATTTGCTCCAAACATCCTGAGCTTCTATTTGTGCTGGCCCTGTCACTGGCCCTGAGGACCCAGCAATGAAGGACACACTGCATCAGTGTTATACAATTGCCAGTGAAAGGAGACAGGCCAAAAGGTAGGTGCCTCATCAAATCATCAGAAAATCATATATGGATCAAGCATCGTGTCAGGAAGTATGTGGGGGCAGTAGGCATAGAGGTCAGAGGACCTCAAGTGCTGAATCAAATATTTCCTCCACATGAATATATGTATGTGTGCTACACGCATAAACTATCTGAACAAAACGCACAAGAAGCTAGTAACTCTGTTTGCTTCTGCGGAGGGCAACTGAGCAGCTGGGAAGGCTTCACATCCTTGTGAACTGTTTGAACTTTAGACTGGCTCAACGTATTTTCATTATGGACTTAAATAAAATTTATATTAAAAAAAAACACATAGAGTGGACCCCGAGTCAGTTTGAAGTCTTAGTCCCTGCATCTTATTGGCTGTGTTTAAAACAAACCAACCTCAGCTCCTCAAAGGTGTCTGTATTCCTGAGCATCCCCTTATCCTCTCTTATTCAACTTACATTTTCCTCAACCTTCAGCATTCATGATTAATAAACCCTATTCGGTTGTTCTATTTTATTGAGTCCTTTTTCTGTCTTCTTAAGATATACTTTATCCCTGGCTGTTTTTTGCAGGCATACAGAGTTCAGCCAGCCTTGGGGTTAGATGGCCCACATGTTCCCCCAGAAGAGTAGTCCAGGTGATCAATTTCGAAGGCACAAAGGCCTTCAATCCCACTGCTGCCACTAACAGCTGCCTAACCCTGGTTAGCCAACCCCTCTCAGCCTTGCTTCCTCGTCCCTCCGGTGGGGGAGCAGCTCCAGCGCACTAAGCACACACGGGCCCTGAGTATGGTGTCTGCACTTGCAGGACAGCGATTATGAAAACCCAGATGAGCATTCGGACTCAGAGATGTATGCGCTGCCTGCCGAGGAGGCTGGAGATGACAGCTATGAGCCGCCGCCCGCTGAGCAGGAGACCCGGACAGTTCACCCGGCCCTGCCCTTCACCAGGGGCGAGTATGTAGGTGAGTTCCCCCCAGACCCTGAGCTCTCAGCCTGCAGGGCAGCGGGGAGCGGGACAGGCCGAGGTGGCAGGCTGGCGGGCACCTCCCGCTCTCACCACCTCCAGGTGGGTCATCTGGTCACTCCCAGGCACTGGCGCTCCCACCGGAAAGTCTGTCCACTTGGAGGTGGGGGGAGGTGTCCTTCCCAAATCAGGAATGTTGAAAACAGGCAAAAGGCAAAACAAGCACACCCCGAGGTGGCTCCCACCCCACCCGCCCCAATTCCTGACGGCCCTCAGGTAAGTCCCTGCCTCTCTTCTGGCTCCCTGCGCACAAGAGTCTAGAATTTCTCTTGAGATGTCTGTGCAGAGCAAGGATGACCTCCAAGGATCCCAGTGTCCGCTACTGCCCTTCCTTCCTCCATCCCCCTTCACCCCGGCTCCTCCCCCAGCAGGCCCTGCTGACACCCTGCACCTAGACTATGGAACTAGTCTCCACTGGGGAGGAGGGAGGGTGAAGAGCTCTAAGCCAGGAATCAGCTTCATTGATTAAATGGACACAGCATTAAATGGAGGTGTGGCCTCCAGGCCTGAGTGCGGCTTTTAATGTCCCCCAAGAAGAAGTCTGTGTTCCAGTCTAACAGGCGACGGAGTTCGGCACAGGTGAGGAGGGGAGTGTGCCCATGGCCCTGATGTTCGCAGTTGTACAGAGCACCCCCTGCGTGTAAAGGGCTCTGTGCCCCTTGTCCCTGCCGTTAACTGCCTCCTTACCAGGCATCAGCACTGCCCCTCGCTTCATGCCGCCGTTCATCTATTGAGCACCTACTGTTTGCCAGTGCCACGCTAAGCACTGGGCACTCAACAGCAAGCAAGACAGACATACTTCTAGACTTTTTACAGCTCACAGTTTCAGTCATGGCCTACTTCACTCTCTCGATGATGTTAGGAAAGAGGTATTAATCTCCACTTTACAAAGGAAAAAGGTGAGGCTCAGAGGAGATAACTGGGCTGAGGTTTTGTGAGTGGCAGAGCTGGGAGGGAGGCTGGACCTTTCAGCCTGCACAGCTCCTGCTCTTCACGGCTCTGCCCCACACACCGCCACCGTGTCTGTGACCGTGTTCAATCATTGCAACCACCCTGGGAAGGAAGGGGCTGAGTCAGGCCCATTTTACAGACCAGGAAACCGAAATTCAGGCGGCTCATTCCAGGGCATACTCGTCAAAGCCTATCTTCTGTGATTTGCTACTTCTGATGAGCTTCGATCTTATATTAAGAAATCTCAGTAAACTCCAACTCAGTAAACTCAGGAAACTGGCTTTACTGTAGCCAGTAAAACTACAAAAACTGACAGTTACCAGGCACAGCCACGTAGACGCCTTGATGCCCGAACACTGCTACACCACCCAGAAAGGGGCTTCCGAGGAGGCAGCCAATGTGAAGTTAACCACACACCTTCAACAAGGCGGAAGCGTGGGCTGCAGGCTGGAGACGGCACCAGGGGGAGAGCAGAGGTGGCAGGCAGATGGGGCAGCTGCATCAAGCCTGGGGCCAGCTGGGAGGAGGAAGCAGCAGGAAAGCAGTGCAGCGCCTGTGCTGGTCCCAGGATGGGGAGCCCCCAGGCTGTCTCTATGCTAAGAGCATCCTACAGTGTGTCAGTCGGAAGCCGTGCTCACAGACTCTGCCGGGTAGACCTGCTGCTGCCTAAGCCCTCCACAGCACGACACAGCTACAGTCAGTGGTTTATCCGCCAGTGACTGCCAGACACACCGTTCCTGCTTCTGCTGCGTTCTCTGATCCTGACAATAACTCTCTGAGGTGGACAGTATGATCCTCACTTTAAAAATGAAGAATGTGAGTCCCAGAGAGGTTGTATAATGAAGCAGCAGCTCAAAGGAGCACGGCTGGTGAGTGGCAGAGCAGGGGGCCAAACCCAGGGCTCTTTGACTTCAGAACTTGGACTCCTTTCCCGACACCTGCTGAGGACAGTCCCGGACCAGGGGGAACTCACGGCTTCTCCGTGATTTGAGGGAAATCATTGAGGGAGGAAACGCAGGTTCACCCAGACGAGTTGTCACAACCCTGAACACACCTTAGAATAACCTGGGGAATCCTCCCCACAAGTGCAAACTCTACGTCTGGGGTGGAACCTTGGCATTTTTTTTAAAGCTCGCAGGTGGTTCTCATGTATAAGCAGGACTGAGACTCACTACCCTAGGGCCTCACAGAGCACAGCACTTTGGCTTCCAGCCCTCCTGAGTCTGTGGGTCTCCATCGCTCCCGGGAGCATATTTTTGATGAGGACATTCTTCTGGTTTTTGTAACGTAAGTCATTTTTGCCTAACATGTCATTTTACTGGTTTAGGGAACGTCCCAATTAATAATGTGTGTCCATATGGATGCCGATGGTTTTATACTTTCTAGATCTCAGTGGCTTCTGTCCAGGGAAGGATCCAAAGCCTCTTCATCTCATGCTTTGTTGTTGTTCCTTTCAAGACAATCGATCCAGCCAGAGGCAGTCTCCGCCCATCAGCAAGACCCTCCCCTGTAAACCCAACTGGCCTTCGGCAAAGGTGCGGCTGGCCGCCACTCTGCCAGCCCCAACATCTCTGCAAAAACCTCAAGTCCCACCCAGACCCAAAGAGCTCCTCGAGGATGAGGTAAAGTAAATCTGGCCGGAAGGCTTTCCAGACCCAGAGGAAGGCAGGATGCAGGGGCCGGACTGGGGAGGGGCCAGGACAGAGTGGCCTCCTGCGTGTCTTCCTTCCTCCCAGGCCCTGCTCTCCGGGCCGCTCTATCCATCCTGCCCCTTCACTGACCGCCTCTAACTCTCCATTGTTATGCTGAAAGGATGTTTTCCTCTAAAAATGGCATATATGGTCTTATTTTAAGCATCTTCCTTTACTAGAGGCTTATGGTATAATATCCATGCTGGGTGTGTTCCCCTCTAACTATCCCCTTTCTCAACCTCAGTTTCCTGTGAGTCTCTCTTTCCTCCAAAAGCGACTTCCCTATCTTTATCTTCCTTTGCTTCTCTCCCTGTCCTGCTTCATTTCATTTTTAACACCTGTTGTCTGCTCCTCCACCCTCCTCCTCCAAGATGCAGGGAATACAGCCAGACATATAATGGAGATAATGTCTCTGAGCCTCAGTTTTTCATCTTTTCAGGTTATTGTAAAGATTTAACAAAAGAACATGTACGCATCACTAAATACAGTGCCTCACACACAGAAGGATTCCATGTATCCTATATAGCGGATTCCTTTCTACCATATTCTAGATTCTTCATAAAATCTCACTTTCTAGTTTCTCCTGAAAACTGAAGGCCTGTCAACACTTGGCCAGCCATGACCCCTGTTTCTATTTGTCATCGTCCCCACTGCTCATTCAAGGCATGCACACACCCTGACTCTGCACATACCTCATCGCTGTTCCATGCCTGCTCCGTAAGCATTTTAGTTTATGAACCCTGCTCTAGGGAGAGCTTAGGTCAAGAAGTCAGTAGGCTGAGAATGAGTGTGGTGTGTCAATCCTCAGTCGGTCTGTCCATCTGAAACGGGATGCTGCCCTCTCAGGATGAGAATAGTGTGGCAGGGAGAATCTGAGCACAGGACACGGTGGAGAGACTATATGTTAGGGTCTCACTGTGAATTCCTTCAGCATTCGGCAAGTCCCCATGAAGAGATCAATTCAGTCCCCATGAAGAGGTCAATTCATGAAGAGGTCAAACATAAGACAAATGAGGACTGTGGCTTAGTGAGGCTCTCCACTTCTGTGTATTACTGGGGGTCGACTCCGGTGGGGAGAGGCCAAGTTTTGCCAATGGGAGCCTTGTGGAGGTGGCTCAGGCAAGTCTGAACTGGGGGAAAAGGAGAAGTATGGAGGAGGCACCTTCTGGAGTGGGCAGATGGACAGTCAAGATAAGAAAGGTTAAAAAGAAAAAAAAAAGGACAACAATTAAAATCAGACTGAGCCACCAGATAGGGAAAGAAGTCAAATACAAGCATCAACAGAAATGTTTAGCTCTGCCACACCGGTCTCAGGGACAATACAAGAGCACAGGGCAACCAGAGTTGGGGGTGGGGCAAAGCCCTGTCGGAGGAGAGAGCACCATATGACAAGAGTGGCTGACACTTGACCAGCGCTGTGTACCAGCTGGTGTTCTGAGCACTGTGCATATACTATCTCATTAACACCCCACATCAACCCTATGAAGTGTGTGCTATCATCATCCGCATTACAGATGAGGAAATGGTACAGATGAGGTGCAAAGGGGTTAAAAATCTTGTCCAAGATCACAGAGGTAAATGGTAGAGCCGGCATTTGAACTCAGATAAGGAGATGCCAGAGACCAGGTGCTAAACAGCCACCCTGTGTCACCTCTCCAGCATCCACTGGGAGAGACCAGCTCTTCACTCAACACAAATGTGCCAGGGCTTCATTGGTGCCCAAAGCAGACCCAGTACCTGTCCTGGCAGGGTGTCAGTCTTAAGGTTTTATGTGACCTTGGACAGATTACTCAAATCCTCTCGAATTCCTCATCGGTAAAATGAGGATAACTATACCTAACTTAAAAGGTAGGTATTATTGAAAGAATTCAGTAAAATAATGGATGTAAAGCTATTAAACACTCACATGAATTATATTAAGGAAGAAACTCATGTGGGTGTTTAATAGCTCATCTAAATGACTCCTGATATGAAATGGATTGTAGGGCAATGGGAAAGTGAAAATAAAATGAATCCATGACAGTCCTATTTTTCACACTTAAAGTCTAGGGGAAGGTAAACATGTAAATACCTATAGCAAGTGTCTTACTACTGAACATCTAAACTCTGGAGTTGATCTAAGATTATTTTTTAAATAATCATCCATTTTTTTTAATCATGCTATTATAAAAACCAAGGAAGGATTTCTAATAGCATGTAGGTTGTGGTAGTGGAATAATCTACCTGGCTTCAAAAGACCAACCACTCGTGTAACTAGAGCCAGGTTTTTGTGATGGCAACATGTGAAAATGGGGCTTACATTAAAACACTGCAGTAATGTGAAGATGAACTTGTTAGGATACAAATTATGATGGTTCTTGAGCATTTGCTTATTTTGGCAGGCAACAACTTTAAAATATTGAACCGCAACTGAAATGAATTGCCAAAAATATATATTATACATTCTTTCTCCTTAAATCCTATTATGGGGAGGGAGAGGGTGGGGACAGGGAGAGAACTACAAACAGAATTTGTTGGGAACGGATGAAGTCTTTTTTTCTATCACTGCTCTTTTGAGCTAAAAATTTCTCAATACCAGAATATCATTACTCTAAACAGGTCAGATTCTAGACCTTGCAGATAAACCATCTTCTACTATCATGAAGTTCTACAGAACATACAAACACAAAATGGAGAAACCAGAGGAAAGAATAAATTCTGAGGTGGGGAGGTAGGGTCGGTAAAGTTTTGGTGGAGGCATGGTGCTTCCACCTTCTCTATATCCATTCAGGTGTCATGGCTGAGTGCCAATAACAATGTTCTGTGTTCAGCTATAAGATACTGGAGGATTTTGTTGACTGTAGGCTTTGAGAGGATGGGCACACCTCCCTGGACACTCAGCCTCTCCTCTCACAAAACTAGCCCCTGGAATGTACTACTCAGGCTACAAACTAATCCAGAGAGGTAGACCCATGGGACCATAAGGGTCCTGCAGAGATGCCACAGCCACTGAACATCAACATTATGCAATGTTGTTAGGTCAGCCTCTTCCCAGCCTTAGCGACTGCATCAATTTCAGTTCAATTCCGTGACCCTTTGACTGCTCAGGAAACACAAATACAGATAAGGAAGAGCCCTTTCGGAGCTCATGGTCTAACACAGTGAGGCTAGCAACATAGTAGAGGTGAGGATCAGGTTCCCCGTGTCGTAGAGGAGCAAGTGGTCTCCTCTGATTGGCAAAATCCAAAGAGACTTCCAATGAGTCAGCAATTTACCCTAGGTCATACAACTAGGAAAGAGACAGGCAAGGATACCCCCCAGGTCTGTCTGATTCCAAAGTCTCATCCTTCAGCCAGAGAGTCTCTGACAGCAGAATTGAGTTGTTGTGTGCACAGCACCACCTGGTGCCTCTCAGCCAGGTTTGGGGGTGAAGAAAGAGATAAGAAATAGCACTTAAATGAAGAGAGTAAAGAAATAAGACAGAAAGAGGAAGGCGAAGAATGAAGTTACTTAAATGTAGTGGAAAAGAGTATGGGCACTCAATTCTTGAACTTAATCCGGGCTCTACCACTTTTTACTAAGCTCCTTGAGCAAGCTAGTTAACTTCACTGTGCCTCAATTTCTCCAAGTTTCTTCATCTTAAAATGGACCTGCTAGTGGTACCTACCTTACTGGGTTATTACAAAAGTTAAGTGAGATTACATGTGTAAAGTACTTAGAAGAGCACCTGGCAATAAATGTTCAATAAATGTTTGGTTTTTATTTCTCCCAGTACCCATTTTGGCAACTCACCAAGACAGGTTGTAAAAACCACTTTTGAGATCTGGTTACCTCATCTGCCTCATAAAATCACTCCCTCTCTATATTTTATGGTCAATTAATTATTGACAAATGTGCCAAGACAATTCAATAGGAAAGAATAGTTTTTTTAAACAAACAACTGGTGCTAGGATAACTGTATATTCACATCCAAAAGAATGAAATTGGATCCCCTATCTCACACTATATATTTAAAAATTAAATTAAAATGGATCATGAGTCTAAGTGTAAGAGCTAAAACTATAAAACTCTAGGAAGAAAACATAGGCTTAAATCTGTATGACCTTGGGATAGGCAATGGTCTCTTAGATACAATACCAAAAGCACAAACAATGAAAGAAAAAATAGATAAGACAGACTTTCAAATGTAAAACTTCTGTGCTGCAAATGCTACCATAAATAAAGTAAAAGGACATCCTATAGAATGGGAGAAATTCTTTGCAAATTATTTATCTGATAAGAGACGTAAAACTAGAACATTTAAAGAACTCTCATAAGCCAATAATAAAAAAGACAACCCAATTAAAAGTGGGCAATGGGGTTAAATAAACTTTTCTCTGAAGAAGATACACAAATGGCCAAAAAACACATGAAAAGATGCTGAACTTATTAACCATCAGGGAAGTGCCAATTAAAACCACAATTAGATACCACTTCACACCAACAAGGATGCTTATGATCAGAAAGACAGACAACAACAAGTATTGGTGAGTATGTGGAGAAACTGGGACCCCATACATTGCTAATGGGAATGAAAAATGGTGCAGCCACTTTGGAAAACAATTTGGCAGTTCCTCAAACTATTAAATCTAGAGCTACAATGTGACCCAGCAATTCCATCACTAGGTATGTTCCCAAGAAAAATGCACATCTGCACAAAACTTGTACATGAATATTCACAGCAACATTATTCATAATAGCCAAAAAGTGGAAATAACCCAAATGTCCATCCACTGATGAATGGGTAAATAAAATGTGGTCTCATCATACAATGGAATATAATTTGTCTATAAAAGGGAATCAAGTAGTGATAGATACTACAACATGGTTGAATCTTGAAATTACTAAGTGAAAGAAGTCACAAAAGATTGATACCGTTATATTGTATGATTCCATTTATACTTTGTGTCCAGAACAGGCAAATCTTAAAGACAGAAAGGTTAGTGGTTGATTAGGTCAGGAGAAGGGGTGGATGGGAGTGACTAATAGGTACAGGATTCCTTTCTGGGGTGATGAAAATATTCTAAAGATAGACTGTAGTGATGGTTGCACACTGTGAATATACTACAAATCACCAATTCACTTTGTATAGGGGAATTTAATGATATATGAATTATATCTCAGTGAAGGTTTTTTAATATCACTTCTTATGCAGGAAACTATGAATGTACAGCACTCTCCTCATTAATTTCTGCATTTCCTTTAGGCTGATTATGTGGTCCCTGTGGAAGACGAAGATGAAAACTATATTCATCCCACAGAAGACAGTTCAGTCCCATCTGAAAAAGGCAAGAGTTTGTAGTTTTAAGCACCTGAGCATGTCTAGTAGCTCCCAAATAGCAAGACTGTTTGGTAGCAAGCACTAAGGGGCTCAGAAATGACGGTGCCCAGGCCTCTCTCTTCCGCGGCCACAGCACTTGCCTTCTTTGGCTGGTCCCGCAGAGGGCATACTGAGCAAATCATTTCCGTGTTTTTTTAGCCTTTGCCCTTCTTCCTACATCCTCTTCCATGATTTAATACTCCCTTCTCAAATTATAAAAGCAGCTAGCTTCTCTTTAGTTCCTCGCTTAGAGTAGATCTCTCATAAAACCTAACACTCCTAAAGTCATGAGCCACCACGTTGACCTTACAAATATTATACCAGGAACAATTTCTGCAGAGGACTGAAAAAAATGAAAGCGTGAAATACGCTCTCTATTCTAATTCTTTAAAATTTAGTGCTATCTCAGGCCCATGAGAAATATTTCATTTGTGAATCCTTCACAAAATAACAAATGCAGTTACAAGCAAATTATCTTAAAAAGCCAGTGCCACATACCCTCAGATCAGGTGTGGAACAGTGCATGATTACTCTGGATGTAGTCTCTGTGGAGAATATAACCCCACATAAATGCTGCTTTTTCAGGTAACATTACTTATCTAGTAAATTTGACTCCAGAGTAACAGTATTCAGTATTTACTCTGCATCATATTGTAACCCTCTCCTGCACTCCCTAAATATCACCAACAGCTTCAAGACCCACCTGAATTCCTGAGCCACCCATCACCATGAAATAATAAATACATGTTGAACACCACCACCTTACTCTCCTCCGACAAAAAAAACCCCTAGAAAATCCAAGAGAAATGGTGTGTGTTTCGTGTGGCAGAGACATTGGGGGTATTTACTCTGGTCTCTCTACTATTAGTTCAATACACTTCTGATTAAAAAAAAAAAAAAAACTTTCATCTCCTAGACCTCCAGTTCGCCAAGTAAAATTCCAAACCTGTATTCACTTTCATCATTAACATATTCATTCTAAAAATGTCTTTTCTTCTGAGAAGCTTCTTCTAATGGCTTATGGGTTTAATAAGCATGTCTCCCATTCTTTGTAGATTCTCTGGTCTGATGCATCATTTGTGCAATGCATTTTCCCATTAATGTAAATCTCCCTCAGTAGAACGTATCTAATAGATATATATTTTTTATACCTATGTTTAAAATTGTGTTTTTCAGCTCCCATGGTGAATAGATCAACCAAGCCAAATAATTCCTCAAAGCCAGTCTCTCCTCCAGGGAAAGCTTCAGGTAAAGTATACACATGATTTGGCGGGGGGGGGGGGTTGTTTTTTTTTTATCGTGAAGTGATTCATTTCAAGGATTTGGTTTTTAATCTATTCTAAATAAGATAAACAACTCGGATCAAATATTAGGAAATAATCCCTTGTATTTCCAAGTGTCTTAATAAACGGTAACAGAGACCTCTCCTGCTCATCCACCGTCTGGTGGCTCCTAGGTGACAGGACCCTGGCCCCATGCCCCTGCACCTCCGTTAAACAAATCCTGGCTTTCATCCTACCTCTCTGGGCACCTTGTGGCTTCTCCGCCTTCTCCCTTCCCCTGACTGAGGAAATCTGTGCAATTCAGCCTCAGCCCTCTGCTCTTCTTTTAGAATATCGTGAGAGTTAAGAGCATGGGTTTTGCACCAAGCAGACCTGGGTTGGAATCCCAGTGCTCCCCGTTATTAACTATACCACTTTGGGTCTGTAGTTTACCTCTCCAAACGTCACATTTTCTCATCTGGAAATGGAAATAATAGCCTGTGCCCTGAGATGGGAGAAATCTGAGATCGTGAATGGGAAATTTCTAATGTAGTCCTGGCACACAGTAGGTGCTTGGTAAAGAGTATTATTTTTCACTTCTTTCAAGTTCATCCATTCTGGCTTCACTTCTCTGGTCTAAGTAGGTAACCCTCTGGTGTCCAACCCTGACCTGCTTTCTCTTGTGAACACCTTGACCTTCCCACAGCCTCATGCTCAATGCACCCATCACCCCTACCCTTTGGGTTCCTGTTCCTCTTCACAAGTCAGCCTCCAGGCTACATGTCTCAGAGTGCCTATGTTCTTTCCCAATCCTGCTATTTCTTTTTCCTGAATTGGCTCTTCCATTTTAGTTGCGCCCACCTTAGCCAGGCTTTCTTTATAATTTCATACCTTCTGTCTTGGAGAGTCCACTGGCCACACCTTTGCCTCTCAGCTCTCTCTTGAGTCACTGAGATGAGCTTCTGTCTCCCTCCAGTTGTTACCAGCTTCATCCCGTTACAAAGTTAGTTTCTCCTATGTCACCCTACCCAAATCATGAACACTTGGTGGTTCCTAGGTGTCTCCTGTAGGGTTTGGCAATCCCAAGACTGAGGCCCGCAGTGCTGAGTGGTGCCCACATCCCCAGCCTATTACAGCACAGAGGGGTGCAGGAGCCTCCTCTGCAGCATTCCCTCCTTCTCCTCTCCCCTACCCAGTACTCACCCACTCCCTGCACACACATACACTCCCGCCTCTCCAAGACCTGAAGGCCAAACACAGAGATTGGGAGACTGACCTCTGCTTTCAGGACAAGCTCCTTGGGAGAAAAGATAAGAAGAGTATTTTTTAAATCTTTCCCTGGACTCATTTCCTGTGCAACTGCTCACCCTCTTATTTATCCAAACACCTTCAGGACCCACAGGCTCTATATAAGCTCATCTCAACTTCTGGGAACAAATGTCAACACACCAACCTAAAATGTCATGGTGAGGTTGCTTTGGTCCCAACTGAAATGGAGACTCCTGACACATGATAACTCAGGAGAATGGCTGTTATTACTGGATTAGAAAACCTTTCATTAAAACAGATAAATGAAGGCTTAAACCCTCCTTCAGAATAATAGTTCAATAATCTCTGGTACTTGCATCTTAAAACGTTCTTCCCTTACATGGACCTCTTATTCCTAATACACACCCAATACTCCAATCAGCCTGTTTTTCATGTGTCCTGCCTTTTGGTATTTGTTTGTTCTTACTTTAATGACACCAAATTCTACCCATCCTTTAACACCCAGCTTGAAGTCTCTCCCTCCAGGAAGCCTCCTGTGGTTTCTGCAGCCCTCAAAGAGCTCTCCTTTGCCATAAGTCTCATTCCACTATACTCAGCCCACATCTATTCTCTAATTGCTTTAGGCCTCAATCTGATCTCCCTAAGTCTGTTGCGAGCTCCTTGAAGACATTGCCTTAAATATCACTGGCACAGGAGGCCTTTCCTGACCCCACAGTGGGCTAGATCCCCTTGGCATGCACCCCTAAAATACCCTGCACTCCCTCTTTATCCCCTGATCCCTCCTGAGATCTCTGTCTGTCTTTGCCATAAGACTTTCAGCTCCGTGTCTTGCTCATAGCTGTGTTTCCAGGGCCTGGACAGGACCTGACTCAAAGTAGGTGCTGAAATGGTCGATGGGTCAGTTGGTTGAAAGAGCAAATGAATCCTCCAGCTCTGGCTGTCTAAGGAATCACACGGCCCCATCAGGAAGCATTAGCCCATTAGATTTATTATTCATTAGCTTTCTATAATCTAGTATAGCTATGTTTTATTACTAGAGGCATGAGATGAAGAAACAAACGTGAACAAGAAAATAATTTCCTGTTTACATGATTGTTGGGTATAGACAGGAAGAAGTTCAGGAGGAGGGAGGAAGTGCGATAACTTGGGCAGGAAGACCACCCTGAACAGTGAGAGGGAGTTTCTGAGTGTGCAGACAGTACAGCTTTCAGAGATGGGTTTTATAAAAGGAATAAGCAGACTACTTGCCTGTGACTTTGGATAATCGATCATTATCTTTTAAAGGCTTTGGAATGTGCCCTGATAGGCATTATGAAAGTGCTAAGATTTCAGGTTGGTGTTTCTGTCAAAGTACCACACTACAACACTTGCCTCTGGTTAATGTTGTTGCCTCTGGTTAATGCTTTTGGCTCCTTGATGGCTAATGAGGTGCTGGTGGAGGATTACACAGTGAATTAGGTGCAGAGGCAGGCTCTCCCCCTCCTCCGTGTTCCATCCTGGGAAGCACGTAGCAGGACTTAGCACAGACTCCAAAGCCAGAGGGTTCAGGTCTTGACTCTGACATTCACTAGGTGCTAAACTTCGAGCAAGCTAAGTAATCCTCCTGTTTCTTAGTTTCCTCGTCTGAAAAATGAAGGGAAAAAATGGTATCTACACCTAGGGGTATTGTGAGAATTAAATGAGTAAAAAGATACAAATCACACTCATAAAATGACAGCTCTTTGTTATTTATTATTGTTATTATTCAGAATCCCTGTTTAACCTGCCTCGATTCATGACCAGTCTGACAGAGGACCATTTTAGGAAACTGAGTTTCTTCCTTTCCATATAAAGTTTTACTCTAAATCAGGGTTTTTCAGCCTCAGCACAACTCGCATTTTGAGCTCGGTGAGTCTTGCTGGGGGCTGTCCTGTGCACCGCAGGGTGTTTAGCAGCATCCTTGGCCTCTGCCCACTAGATGCCAGTAGCATCCCCTTCCCTGGTAGAGACAGGCAAAGATGTCTCCAGACACGGAGGAACGACCCTGGGAGAGGGGGACAAAAATCACTCCCAGTGAAGAACCGCTGGTCTAAACTAACTGAAAGACTGAACACTTTTGTGATTTATCTCTAAATGAGCATTTAGAAGAAGGCAGTGCAACCTTTGGCTGATTAGAAGCTTTTGTCAGAAGAGGTTAGACAGTGCATGTATTTCTGAGCTTCCTCTAAGTAAACAGCATTTGAAAGTATTTTATCTCCTTATTTCCTAAAATAAGAGGATAGTTTCGGAATTTACAATTCCCTGCTATTACACAAGTTGAACCTTACCTGTAGCCCAAATTGTTCTGAAGTTGTTAAATTGAATCTCTTTGTGTATTTTGTAAGAGTTCATGCAGCGTATGAGAGTACAGGATGCTCCAGCTAGTACGCAAGCCCCACTAATGACAACAGGGTGTCTATAGCAGCTAAAAGAGAGTTAGATCCCACGGGCTCACAGTGCCAACACTGGGATTGTCCAGAATAAGGAAACTTACCAACACTGCATGTAAAAACCAAAAAGAGCATAATGTATAAAATACATGGGGTAGAAGGGAAAACTAAGGGTAAATTGTTTTCCTAGTTGAGAAACCTTGGTAAGCAGTAGCTTGTGCAAGGCCTGTGCTGTTAAATCAAACACTGATATAATTTTTTGCTCACTACAATTAAAATAAAGCTGATTTTTCTAGTTCATTATGATGCTTTGGGACACATCTCCCTCTGCCGCATTCCCAGTTTCTCCCTAGGAGTTTTCCAACCGAGAATTTAGCTTTTCCAGGAAGCGGGGATCCTGGAAATGAGAGGGTACTAGGTTGTCCTACCCCAGCCATGCCCCTGGATCTGACTTCAGCCAGGGTGGCAGAGGGGGTCACTGACCTATGAAGAGATAGCCTTCATCCTCTTGTGGGCATCTACAAAAGCACCCCTCTGTTTTATCAATCTTTCCCCATATAAGGGAGAAGCAGCAAGCAAATCTGACATGCCAAATCATGCCCCAAAGTAACATTATGAGATACTGGCTGAAGAGAAAAGTTCCTGCCTGAGCTTTCAACTTGAATAGCCTTGGTTCCCAACCCCAGCCCTGCCCCTCAACCCCTCTGAGCCTCCGTTCAGTCCCCTTGATGTTATATGAGGCTGAGAGGTGGCACACGTGAGGTACCTGGCAGAGTTCCCCAGCACCTAGAGATACTGTGGTGTGGATAACAAGATGATAAAACAAAAATGTCAATAATCATATTTACTGAGCTCCTTTATGAGCTATAATTGACATATAAAATGCGCTCATTCCACATATATAATTCCATGGGTTTTTGTAAATCATTGCATTTAGAGTTTTGTAACCAGCACTACAATTCAGTTTTAGACATTTTCCATGCCCATCCCAACTCCAAAGGAGCCTTTCTGTCCATTTGTGGTCAATGCTGTTCCCACCCTCAGCCCTAGGCAACTCTGATCTGTTTTCTGTTGCTAAGGAGTCGCCTTTTCCAAACATTCATGTAGATGGAATCATAAAATGTGTAGTCTTTTCCATCTGACTCCTCTCACTTAGCATAATGTTTCTGACCCTCAAATACTCTCAGTCCCTTTCCAGCAATATTACTGTATATTTGGCTAATTCTTAACATGTTCAAAGTTACTGTATTACCTGACCACGGTAAGTCTGAGTTAGATAAGGTAGGTAGTGGTGTCCCCATTCCAGAGAGGGGGAAACTGAGGCATGGTGGCTTGTAAGCAGTCACACAGCCAGTCTGTTGGCAGAGAAGTAACTAGAACCCGCCTTTCTGATGCAAGACCACAGGTTTTCCACCAGCGCTTGTAACTGTACTCTGCCACCACAGACGGCAGCAGGTGTGCGCCTCCCTCTCCTCTGATCACAGAAGTTATTTATGAGGAGGGAAGGGGAAAGGAAGACGTTGGCCAGCTGTTTGGAGATATGAAGGAAAGGGGAGCTTAGCAGAGAAGCCAGGCAGTAGCAGTGACAACAATAATGTGCCCAGGCCAAGCGAGCTCTTGGCTTTTAAAAAGAGGGGGTACCCCTGGGAGGAAATTCTGACTTACACCTTATTTTTACTTCCTTATTTTTCAGGCAAGGTTGTTGTGTTTTGTTTTTTGGGTTGTTTTTTTTTTTGTCTCTTCCCCAAAATCTTCCATCAACATCTATGAGTAGCCAAGGGTATTTTCCCAGTGTCAATCTTAAGTACTGAGAATTTGAAGACTGATATCAACTTGATACACCAGCTAATGAAACACAGTTGGACACATACTACTACCTATTCAGATGACATTTCAGTTTCTTGACACAGGAAATGTTAAAAATTTTAAATGTAGTCTCTTTCTTAAAATGTTTTTAAAAATCCCATCTGGGTCAGGTAACGTCTAAAGTAGGATTTACACGGGAAGGGCCACTCCTTCACCAGATGCCATGAGTGAGTGCTCATGGAGATCAACACCACTTAAGAACTGTGTGTAGAAAAGAAGCAGACGGGCTCTGAGTGAAGGCCTGAAGGCCTCTCTCTAGCAAAGTACATGAGGATGAACTTTATGATCTCTGTGCTTAATACTTTCCGAGGCCTTTTTTCTCTCTTTTGTGTTTGGAATAGGTGGTCCTGTCAGATGAGGTGGCAAGGGGTGCATGTGACTTCCCCTGTTATGAATTCCCAGAGGGCAGAGGTCTATCTGCCTCTCCAGCTCTTCCACAACCCCTAATATAGTGCCTTCAAGTGCTTTACACATACCAGGTTCTCAGTGATCCTTGGTAACAGATTATGACCTCGGTGTTTACTTATGTGTACTTTATCTTGCAAACTAAGACAATACACACTGAGGGCAAGTCCAACCTAAACTTGCAGAGTATCCCCATTATGTCCATGAGGAATGGTGGACTTAAAAGTGTAGTAGATTCTTAATACAATATTTATTCAGTTAAACTTAATTCAACAGAAAGCCTTTGTCTCACTAAGTAGTAAGATCCAGGCAGGTGAGCAGCAGCCTGAGAGGAGGCAGCCAGGAGATGCTGAGGGGAGATGGCTAGGCTTCTGGCCTCTCCTGCTCCAGGTCTGCTCTCTATCCCAGCAGTGAACCTCTGCTGTCTCTCACCTTCCTTCCTCATAACAACTGCCTGGCTTCTACACTCAGGTAGTGGGAGGGGAAATGGGTATAGTGGACAAGGTCATCTGGGTCCCTTCTGTGACTTCAGAAGATGAGATTTAGACTACAATGAGGTATCACCTCACACTGGTCAGAATGGCCATCATCAAAAAGTCTACAAATAAATTCTGAAGAGGGTGTGGAGAAAAAGGAGCCCTTCTACACTGTTGGTGGGAATGTAAATGGGAGCAGCCACTATGGAGGACAGTTTGGAGGTTCCTTAAAAAACTAAAAATAGAGTTACCATATGATCCAGCAATCCCACTCCTGGGCATATATCTGGAAAAGATAAAAACTCTAATTCCAAAAGACACATGCATCCCACTGTTCACAGCAGCACTATTCACAATAAGCAAGACACAGAAGCAACCTATATGCCCATCAACAGATGAATGGATAAAAAAGTGTGGCACACACACATACACACACAAGAATATTACTCACCTATAAAAAAGAATGAAATATTGCCATTGCAGGAACATAAATGGACCTAGATATTATCATACTAAGTTAAGTAATCCAGAGAAAGACAAATATTACATGATTACCACTTAAATGTGGAATCTAAAAAATTAATCCAAATCAACTTATTTACAAAGCAGAAACAGACTTACAGACATAGAAAACAAACTTACGGTTACCAAAGGGGAAAGGGGAGAGGGAGGGATAAATTAGGAGTTTGAGATTAACAGATACATATCACTATATATAAAAATAGATAAAGAACAGGGATTTACTATAGAGCATAGGCAACTATATTCAATACCTTGTAATGACCTAAAATGGAAAAGAATCTGAAGCTGTACACCTGAAACTAACACAATATTGTAAATCAACTATAGTTATGTTTTTAAAAATCATGAGATTTGGGCAGTAGCTTGCCGCTTGTCCCAATTTGTCTATTTATGGGCAAAGGCTCTGAGAACTTAGAGATGAATTGAGTGTCCTCCAAAGGTTAGGTGTATATACCATGTAAGTGTGGTCAGGAACGAGCCATGCTGTCTATAAGTGTGTATCTGGAAGGGTGGGTCTGTGCCTCTCTGACCCCAGGCACCTCTGGTGTGCGCATGTGCGCAGTGTATACAGATGCAAATGTGAACTTTTGTGGGCTCTCACCGAGCCCACAGAATCAGGGGCTCTGAACTTGTTGCATGCAGGAAAGGAAAAGGTCATTTAGCAATGTTGAGATGGAGTTCCTAATTAACATCCTAGTTCTGAGCTTATCAACTGATATTCTTTTTAAAAAGTTTCATCATCTTTGCCTACAGGTTTTCCCCAACAGCTTCAATGTAACCACTTATATACGTTTAACTGAAAGTAACAAAAAATGTGCATGTATTTCTAAGTTTGCCATAAAGGCCAGCTCCATATGACCATCAGCCCCAGTGCAAGACAGGAGACTGACCTGTGTGTATGTCTGTGCAGGTCGAAACAGCGGAGCCTGGGACTCCAAGTCAACTTCTTCACCTGCTGCACCGTCCCCACGGCCCAGAGCCGGGTGAGTGCCTGTTGCAGAGAAGCACCTCTGTGATCTGAGTGGATGGTCTCCACCACTGCTGAGAGCAGGCCTGCCTGGAATCCGCAAAGGAGTTCTGCCTGCGAATCTGAGGGCAAGAGGGAGGGTGCTTTTCTGCTGTTTCCATCCAGAAGAGCACGCCTGACCCAGCTCAGGGGCAGATGCACCTAAATTTACAAGAAGTGTGCTCCTGAAGAGTGTGGAAATGAAACCCTAATGCCCTGCTCTTCTCCACACCCAAGGAATGCTTCAAGCTGGACTAGGGGTGTCCCTGCTGACATAAAAAAAACGAGTAGTCTTTCCTCCCATACATTTTTAATTAAAGCTTGAGTCACACTGACTTGTGTCCCACACAGCAGAAGCTCCAGCACCTAAATGATTTTGAAACCCACTAGCTGGCTTCACCTCTACTTCCTACTACTTGGCTTCTCTTTCAAGTAGTTAATGATCTGTAAACAAACGTGTACACCAAGCTGCGTGCACTGGGTATGCAATCAAAGCAACGTTGCTGAGGTTCCTTCCAAAAGTGGGATGAGAGAGTCTTTCTTTTTTACTGAACTTAGAAGAGCTTTGTAAACCATCAGATGAGTATTATAACGTGTCAATATTACAAACAGTGTTCCATAATTTCATATTGGCTCAACGGGTCATTTTTAAAAGCACGCTTAATCTGTTCAAAGTCAGCCTGCATGGTTATAATCTCAATTCTGTCACTGGGTAAAGCAATGAACTTCTTAATTTCAGGGGTTTATTAAGCAAAACTCTGCACAATTCTTTCTTGGCTCGACTTTATCACTTCAGGCAAGTTACTTATAGTCTCTCTGAGCCTGTTTCCTGGTCTGTAAAATGTAATAAAAATACCCCCATTTAAAAAGGGCACTGTGAGGCTTAGATAACGTGTGAAGAGCCTAACTCAGCGCCAGGTGTCTTAGAGGCTCTTGGGAATTGTTAGTCTTCTTCCTGCAATCTTCCAGCTCTCGGCCAAAAGAAAGCGAAACAGAGACAGACAGAGAGACGTAGTATTTAAAATAACACGGAAGAGAAGCATAACACCTTAGCAATATCAGAGTCCAGCCTCTACTGGAACTGAGACAAACCAACATGTTAACTCAGGCAAGCACCTTCAGGACCACAGATCACAGAGGTTCTCAAACCTGTGTCGGTCTTGGGTTTATCTGTTTGGAATGAGATTCCAGGCAGACATCTGGTAGAGAACAGTCACCTGAAGCAGGGGGGACACTGGCATGAGGGTGGTGCTTGGCCACCCTCACATCTCCACCCTCCTTCCCCAGACAGTAGCCCTGGGGTGCTGTTGTGGGTGGGAGGGCTCTGCATACACACTTTGAAAACAATGATTCTGGTCCTCATTTTAACAGATGAGGAAACTGAAGCTCAGACTGGCCCTCACAGCCAAGAGAAACAGGGCTGAGGTCATAGAGTAATTAGTAGCAGAATGGGAACGAGAGCTCAGTTATCCTGACTCCCTAGCAACTGGCACTCCTGTTTATTCCCAGTTAACCCCTTTGCCATCTGTCAGTGGACCTATCCGAGGCTAGGAGGATCATGGCTAAATCCTGCTTCCATCCCTCTCTGCCCTTCAAGGATAGTCTTCCTACACACTCGTATCACTTTCATTATTCTAGTTTAAATTTGAGAGTAAAATAATAAGTAGCCAGGTTCTCTTTATCTTTGTTGTGTTTTAACAAAGCCAATCTCTTTTTATCCCCCAGGAAAAGAACAGCTCCACCACTGAAGACAGTAAGTGAATTTTGCATTTAAATGTACTTCACGTTTCCCACAATGTTTATTCTTATCCACTTACATAAAGCTGACAGTGCTTCCAGCTAAGGTGAACATGGCAATCTTAGCAACTGAAGTGGCTGCCTGGACAGTCCAAGAGAAGCTCGGAATCCTCAGTTAGGCAGGGAAAATGCTGAATGGGAGGGTCGCATCCTCACTGAGTGTGAGGGACTGATCAGAGGCTGGGCTCCTGACTCCTGCGATCTCTGCCTTCCCCATGGGGGACCCCTATGTCGGCTTCCCACCTGCTGGCCAGGGGGCTAACTGCTGACAATTGTGTATCAGGCACACAGGTCTGATTACACTCAGAACTTGGGGAACCTGGGCCAGCCCACTGTTGGAGGAAGCCCACCTTGACCTGGTATCTACACTGTAGCTTGACATTTACAGTTACTTACAAACACCGAGATGGAGGGGCCCTGAGATCAAAGCCGGGTGCCAGATTTTCACTGTGCAAGGACTGCTATCCAGCGGCTGCTGGGGGTCACGGTATCCACCAACTCTACTGACAGAGTTGTTGTCCACCAAGACAACGCTGCTTCTTCTCTGACACACTTCCAGCGTATTGTCACTTAATGCAAAGGCTGGGCTGGAGACTGTGTTTTGTTGCTCTTGTGATTGAAAGAGTAGCTATGCATCAAAGAAATGTTCTCCCCAGATATCTATTTTGATCATATTGCTTTGACTTTTATTTCCTCATAACACTGTATTGAGGATCCTTGTCTTTTTTTTTTTCTTAATAGACTCCAGTTGCCTCTCAACAGAATGCCTCAACTGTTTGTGAAGGTAAATCTGTATTATTTTGACGGGTGAGCATGTCCTCTAAAAGTTATTTTGATTAAGGATTTGTATACAAATGTATTTCTAAATTTGTTTCATTATTTATAAGGCAACTGTAAACATAAACCTCAATGTTCTAACCTAAACAGCCTCTACTTTGCCATGAGTAGTAAGCAGCAAAGTTGATCAGGACCTGAGCTTGCCAGGCTGCATGCATGGGGTAGGCTACAGTCTACACGCCCCAAACCTGCCTGTCTGTAGACATATATGACTTGCCAGACACATGCCACAGCCTTACACAGGTGTGAAGACTTATTTAGAGCCACTCGTGTATCCTAGTACTAATAACGTAGTTAAGGTAATAAAATGTTTAAAAATCTAAACTGTTTATTTGAACAAGTTCAAAGTAATGTTTCCTGAGTTCAAACGTCTATCTTCTTAGTAGGTCTTCAAATGCTTTCCTTCCTTTGTTTTACCATAACCTAACAACATCACATATACTTTTTATTAGAACTTCCCATTAAAACAAAAATTTGTATTTGAAAAGTATCGGAGGGAAAACACAAAGTAAGAATCCATAATCTCAACACTTAAACACTACATAGAAGCGAAAGTCCTGCGCCGTCTGACTCCACACCCGAGGGTGCTCAGTGTTAAAAGTTTAGCAAGCGTTCATCTCACCATTTCTTGAGTTAATATGGGCACCTCTGGTCTCACTGACGACGGGCGGTAGACATTTTCTGAATGTGCATTACAACTCACCTGTCTGCTTTGCTCCGTTGGGGTTTTTGCATCGGTTCCCACATCTCTTCCCCAGGCTGTTTCTGAGGAATCGCTCCCTTTCTGCTCTCTTGCTTTCCTCTGCGCTTCCTTTGATGCTTCTGCCTGCTGTTCTATCCCTTACAGTCTTCCATGCCTGTTGAGCAGGGAGCCCTAGGGTAAGCCTCTGCAGGAAGTAAGTACAACCCTGTGCAAATTTCATGGCTTCAGGAGCTTCCGAAAACCAGCAGAGAAGGGGCTCTTGGCATGCCCCATATAGCTCAGATGTCTTCGTTCCCAAAGGGCTCCAGTGCAGGAGCCTGGCATGCCACGCTCATTTTAAGAGATAAGGCACATTGTAAACTGACTATAACTAAATTAAAAAAAAAAAAAGAGCTAAGGCAATAGCCATCCAAACCGAAGGTGGGTGAGCGGCCTCTTCTGGCCTAGGAAGGAAGCCTCCTGGAGGACAGGGCAAAGCAAGTGTGGTCAAAGCTCATCATGTCGTGGCAACCTAATGTGTTCATTGTTTCTCCTTCTGAAATTACCAAGTTGTAAAGCCATGAACAAAACATCTCACAGGGAAGCTGGAAATAACTTGCCACACACGTGAAACATGATATTTAGAGGTTCAAGGCTTCAGAACTTCTCTGCACTGTAAGAAATCCTGGTTGGGGGAGGTAATTCAGTTTGTTTGTTTGTTTATTTATTTATTTATTTTTGTTTTTAGAAGACGTACTGGGGATTGAACCCAGGACCTCATGCATGCTAGGCATGTGCTCTACCCCTGAGCTATACCCTCCCCCCGCAAAAAAATCTATCTTATCATTTATTTGAATCTTTGAGTTTTTATACTTTTATTTCTTTTGGGTTCCTGTAGTTAGAGATCAATCATTCCGAACCTTTCTTTCATGCAGGAGACGCATCTTTGGGCATACCCAGATTTTAACACACTCTAGACCAAATTTGAGGGAGAATAAAGCATCACAATAATTTATAACCACATTTTTCAGTGGTTTGGCAATAAAGTTCACTATGGGCTTCAACACAAACTTCTTAGAATTCAGGTTATGCCCATTTCCCCATGTAACAACTGTAATTCCACCCCTTCCTCTCTTTCAGGAATGCACAGTGACATGCAAGTGAGATTTTACATTACTATACATATATATGGATAACCTTCAACTTGCTCAATTAATTTTTCAAAAAGAGTAGATCAATCACAAGCTCTAATATTTTACCTCTTATCAGTAAGAAATTACTATTCCACGTCTTATGACTAATGAAGACACACCAGGGTGTTGTAACACCTGGGTGGAGGGTAGAGGCCACACAGAAAGCAGAGGGCGCTAAAACTTACTCATCTCCTGGCTCTCACCTGTAATCACACACTTAAAGGTCCAGAACCCACAGGTTCAGTTCCTGAGTATTTGCAGACTGCCAAAGGGTGAATGTAGAGGTGGCAGGGTGTGCCTGCAATACCACTGGGTAGGAGTCCTGGTCTTAATAATGCAGACATACCATCAGACTGACAGGTGCACAGAGGGATGACTTCCTGGTGAAAGACATGCTCATGGGAAGACATCTGACCAAATCTGGTTCTTCTTGGTTGGTGGGTTTGGACATGGGGACAGACATTTCACTCTAATCTTAATTATTATAATTTTCTTAATGCAGAAAAACCTATACCTGCTGAACGCCACCGAGGGTCTAGTCATAGACAAGAATGTATGCAGTCCCCAGTGTTTCCTCCTGCCCAGAAGTAAGAATCCTCTCCTTTAAAAATAAGTTTCCTTAATGCCTGCATTGTTACATTGCACAGTGACACTGGCTTATAGTGACCTGATATTTCATTGCTTTGCAATTAAATTTTAAAGATGTTAAGTAGGTAACAACTTTAAAAGAACTGCTAAGAATCACAGAGACCTAACGAATATTTGGGTTAAGTATCAGACTTAACTAAAATCTAACACTTTAGTCAAGGCTCCTCATTTCTAAAAACTGAAGGGAACAATTTTATTTATCTTGAAGGTTCTGGTGTCTCTCCTACCTTTAGATATGTCTTATCAGCCATTTGTGCCTATTCCTTTGTGATGCACCTGTTCAGAGCATCTTCAGTGCAAACAAAAAGTCAAACTTATTCATCTTGTGCTTTGCCCTTTAATTAATCTGAAATTCTTCCTTTCAGACAAATCCATCAAAAACCCATACCTCTGCCAAGTAAGTATAATGAAGGCACGAAGAGCAATATCGGGTATTGGCTAAGGCTCGATCTTCACATCTGCATCACCAGTTTCCAAAGCAACTCTGCCTCTTCCAGCTGGAGGATCATAGTATCCTCTCTAGCTTGTTTCCTCATCTGTAAAATGAGACAAAGGATATTTTTCACAGAGCTATTTGGAAAGTAAATAGATTTGAGATAATTTTTACTTTTTTCTTTTTTAGTATTGATTGAATATTTTACTGGTCATCTTTTATTTATTTAATTATTTTCACAAAAATGATACAAACTATTTTCAAAATAAAATGATTAAGTAAAACAACATATTGTGCTTGGTACCTAGAAGGTTTTCAATAAACAATAGCCATTTAAATTAAATCTAAAATGTACCCTGAAAAGAAGATTTGGCAAATATCTGGATAATTTTCCCAAAGCCAACAATTAAACACCCCAAAAATACAGGAAATCAGGCTCCCGGAATGTAATCATTCAAACCTTGATTTGCTTTTTACTCAGTATAGGCAAAGAAATGAAAACACAAAACAAAACCCTACCTTATATGGGTAATTTGGAAAATATTCCAAAATAATCAGATTCAATAAATTCAAATAAAGAGAATAATTGTTATATACAAAAATTTGTATATGCTTATATAAACATAGATCAGTTTTTAAGGTTTTAATTAGATTTTTAATTAGATTCATCTTAAATAAATGAAACTCAAACAAAATGTTTAACTTAAAAAAAAAATCCTGAACACAAAGTGAAAATGGTGTGGCTATAGAAATTTTTTTTTACTATGTTAAAAGCTTTATTATACCATTTATTGTTTTTCAACCCAAGTCATTCTTTCAACTGACAAATACTTAATTGACCATCTGCCATGTGCCAGGCACTGTTCTAGACACAGGGGATGGAGCAGTGAATAAAACAAATAGAGTCCTCACCCTTATGGAGCTTCTATTCTACTGGAGGAGACAGACAGGAAAAATAAACATCCCGATAAATCATATAATATCAGGCAAATGCTAAAGTGCTATAAAGAAAAACAAAGAAAGGTGGCAGAGGATGGGGCAAGAGAGGAGTGGAGGCAGTGAGGGCTGCTGTGGCCAGGGAAGACCTCATCTGGTCCCTTCATTACCTCCTACCTGACTTCATCTCTTCTTCTCTCCATTTTTCATTGCACTCCAAGCACAGTGGCCCTCTGTCTGCTCCTGAAACATGCCAGGCCCTTGCATTACTATTCCCTGTACCTGGAACATTCTCTCCTGAGATATCCACATACCTCCTCCCTCTCCACCTGCAGATCTTACCCAAGTGCCACCACAGTGAGGCCTTCCCTAACCAGCCTATTTAATCATACTACTTGCCTGAAGCTGTCCCTCCACTCCCTCCTCTGCCTATTTTTCTTCATAGCACTTATGAGTCTGACATATTGTATATATATACTTACTTATGTCTTTATTACCTATCTCACTCCATTAAAATTGAAGCTCCGGGAGGGGAGGGCACGTTGCAGTTTTGTCGACTACTCTAACATTCCCAATGCCTTGATCCCAGGCAGGTACTCAATAATGAATGAATGAATGAATGAATGAATGAATGAATGAATACAGCTAAGTATTTTCTCTGTTTCATGTGTCTCCACATTTAGACTGTAAACCTCTTGAGGGAGTTTATGACTTAAGGCAGCAATTCTCAAACGTTTTGAGCTCAGGACCACTTTAACACTCTTAAAATCATTGCAGACACAAGGAATTTTGGTTTACATGTTTCCTTCTATTGATATTTAATGTATTAATTAAAATAGATATTTAAAACATATTTATCAACCCACTTAAAAAAATTAAACTCATTACATGTTAACATAAATAATATATTTTTACAGAAAATAACTATATTTTCCAAAGAAAAACAATGTAGTGGGAAGAGTGGCATTGTTTTACATTTTAAAAATCTCTTTAATGCCTGAGTAACAGAGACAGCTGGATTCTCATATCTGCTTCTACATTTAATCTGTCGCAGTGTTCTTCTGTTGAAGTATACGAGGAAAACTGGGCCTCCGAGGGATAGGTATTTGGAAAAGTTCTCACGAACCCCTTGAAAGGATCTTGGGGATTCCTGGGTCCTCAGACCACACTTTGCGAAACACTGCTCTTAAGGATTTTTCCCTTTTTTTAGTGTGTGTGTGATGTATTATGTGTATGATTTTTCAGCGTGTGCGTTCCTTGCAGCACCCAGCACGTTGCTGAGATATAGGCATAGTAACTGCTCAAGATATATTGGGATCCATTGATTTTCCAAATCCCTTTCAGGGTTTCCAGAAGGCGGAAGCCCAACCGTGGATGGCCCACTACCCAGCTTTTCATCTAATCCCAGCTTGTCAGAACAGGTACGAAATGAACCCATTGTTATCAGCAAACTGCAGGAAAGGGTACGACTTCTTGTTCAAGAGATTTTGGAATGAAGCTTAAAAACAGATCTTATTTTAAGCCGGCTTGTGTGTAGTCATTTGCTTATGGGTACAGAATACATTTTCCCCCATGGTTAAGACCTTGATCCATTTATTCCACTTTGTATTCTAGATGCCCTAAATAACAACTGGCGTTTCTTCAAAACTAGCAAAGAAGTGTGTTGTTTTTATTGTTCTTCCTCTCACACAGATTCTATTTAAACAATGTAATTTTCCCAGAATAGATCTGTGGAGGCATATGATGTTAAAACACATGAAACAGCACAGGTTAAAAAAAGACACAGAAAGAATTCTGTGTGCCCCTGGGCAAGTCTCTCTAAGCTTTCTCAAATGTAAAATAGGGATGACTGCATGTGTCCTTCTTGCCTTCAAAGTAGTTACAAGAATCAAATCAGATAATGCTTGTAAAAACATTTTGGAAATCGTAAAGCCCTCCACAAAGGAACAAGATCACTATAGAAAGGGGGACTATAACTTATTCAGGAGAAAGGAATACATGGTTCAGGAATCTAGCAGATGTAGTTCTTCTGTTCTAGTACTAAGTCTGGCCCCTAAGACCAAATGGGGAAAAAAGTCAACAACATAATCCTTGTGGTTGATCAAAAGAAGCTTAAAACCCATTTTCAGATTACTGGCCCAAACGTAGTTAGGCCTTTCTGGTAATACAAAATGGGACATGGTTTCACAGAAGGTACAGTGTTACTGAAGGACCATCTCATGTCAAACAATGTTCTCTATTTCTCAGGAAGCTGACGTTCACTGTAAACCATGGTATGCTGGTGCCTGTGATAGAAAGTTGGCCGAAGAGGCATTATACAGATCAAATAAGGTTTGACCATTTAGAAATCTCATACTCTGCTCTCAGCCTGCATAGGCACAGTTGTCATCCCAATAATAGGCTAATTAAATAATTGCAATAGTTATGGATGCAGGGATCTTTATCTTTACTTACTCAAGAGGAACTGCCATCCCCTCCTCTCTTTCAAGCATCTCCCTCTTTCTCTGTTCCTTCATCTTATTGCCACATGTCCTTTCATATATACATGGATCCATGGGCCCCACTGCCCTCCAAACAGTGGAAGAGAAGAAAGTTCCAGGCGAGATCTCTGTAAGGTTCAGTGCTACATGAGATCCACTCAGGAGTGAGAAGTAACAGGCTATTTTGAATCAATGGATGGGATAAAAGATTGGGATCAAATGGCAAAAAGTACTTGAAAGTAAACTTTTGGAGAGTCCAAGCCCAATCATGTACCAACACTAGGAAGAGTTTGGATAATCCAAGATTAAAGTGCCACTTTTCTTTTTCTTTCTCTTTCTCTTCTCTCCTCCTTTTTTTTTTTTTCACTTGCACCCTGCCTTGTCAGAATATACAACATTTGCATATTTTTTTGGCCACCTTTGCTTTAGTTCTGGCTCTACAATGAAATATATTAAATGCTTTCCATCAGTCCCTTTGCTGGCTTCCTCGGTTATCTCTTTTTGTTTGGTGAAACTCACCTTGTAGTAGATTCTCAGGAAGGACCATGTTTACATTATTCCTTGAGTTCTTGCACATTCAAACTGTTTTTCATAGCCTGATACCTGGAGGAAATCTTGGCTGGATATAAAATCCTTGGTTTGAGTCTTTAAAAGTGTTGTTCCATTGGACTGCCTTGTGCTATATGATGCTTTTGAGAAGTCTGATGCTAATGTCATTTTCTTACCCTATATGTAATTTTATATTTTAATCTGAAGGCTCCACAGATTTTTTTCTTTTTGAAGTCTAATTGCTTTACCATATTATGTATCTGAGTTGATTTAGAGGTCAATGTTTTCAAATAGATGGAAGCCCTTTCAATATGTAGATTTGTTTTCTCCTATTTCCAATACATTTTCTTAAATTATAGTTTTAAAGAGTAGTTCTGTTTCATTATTTTGTTTTTCTTTTCAAGGACTCAAGTTACATGTATTTTAGACCCTTTCTTTCCAACCACTCTGACCTCATTATATATGTACTTTTAAATCTCTCTCTCTCTTTTTTTTTTCTTGGTTGTTTCCATGCCTTCCTTCAGTCATTTATTAAGTCTTCATTTAAGGCTGTGTTCCCTTGGGCATCCTGTAATTTCTTCTTCATTTCTGCAATAGGTTTATCTTTCTCTTTAGTTTCTTTCGCAAGTTTGATCAACTCACTGCATTTCTTCCTGCTTTTTGTCCATTTTTTGTTCATAATTTTTGAATTTATGTTTCCAGAATATTTTATAAGATATTTAATTACATTTGGAATGTTGTGCTATAATTTTTTTTCTGCTTCAATATAAGTTTTTGGAGAGAGAATTTTTATCAGCTGAAATGTTTTGATTTATAATGTCCGCTTTTTTCTTATTGCACTTTTGAATGGAATTTGTTTGATTTTTTTATTCATAGACAACTTGTAAACATGGTTCCTAGTTCAAGAGCGCCCTTTTGGTTTGATCTTAATGTGTCCCTTCACACATTTCTAAATCTTATAAACATATCTTATTTAATGCATCAGAAAGCTAGCATTGACTTCATTCAGAATTTTCTTAAAGTATATATTTTACTGAAGTATTTTCCTAGAAAATAATACAAGAAGTTCTAATCATAATAAAAATCAGATAGCTAAAGAATTACCTTTTGAATATAATATAGGTATTTTTCAGAAACTGATTTCTAACCTGTAGAAGTATAAGTAACACTAACAATAATTATTCTTTCTTTTAATAAACAGGATGGATCATTTCTTATTAGGAAAAGCTCTGGCCATGATTCCAAACAGCCATATACACTAGTTGTATTCTTTAATAAGCGAGTATATAATATACCTGTGCGATTTATTGAAGCAACAAAACAGTATGCGTTGGGCAAGAAGAAAAACGGTGAAGAGGTCAGTAATTTCTCTTCTAATCCAACTCTATAAGTATGTTTTCAGCACAATTCCATCATACTGTATTAGGCGCTAGAGATGAGGACAACGGACACAAGAGTACTTGGTCTGATGTAAAAGCTACATCTTAGTCTTTTTAATCCTGTTACTTAGCGGGGTCAGTCTGATTCAGTATGTTAGTCCAGAGGACAGAGAAATCAAGGTTCAAATGTCAAGTAGAATTAATGTTGTAAATATCAAGGTCCGTGCCCAGAGCTCCTAAACTAAGAACTAGGATTTCAACTCAAGTATCAAGGTGAATGACCAGGGAAGGATCCAGAAGTGATACAAAGACTTGAGTTGAAACATTAGATTGTAGTCCTTGGACCAGAATGAGCTTTGGGGACTGCAGCAAAAAAAAAAAAAAAAAAAAAAAAAAAGCATTACATGGCTCTTAAATACTAACCAAACAAGAACTTCAACTCCACTTTAATATGGACCAACTCAATGCTTATCATGTCTCTGTTTAGCCAGCCTGTTCTTGTAAGTGAGCCCTGAAATATGAGCTGGAGTAATTCACAAATGGTCAGAAGGGGACTGATACTTGTTATGGTCTTGAGTGATACATTGCATTTGAACAGACAGAATGAAAATTGGAGGGCATGAGAAGGAGGAAAACGGAAAGAACAATCTAAGCAGTAAAAATTGCATTTAAAAAGCTCAATTAAGAAATAATTATTTTCAATACTCCTCCACAAAGAACACCCATTCCAAACCCATAACTTATTAGAAGGTATTTAAAATGTTAGAAAATGTCCTAATTGTCTTCACTACATGTGACCAGAGACTAGATTATGTCTTGCTCATCTCTGTATTTCTAGAACCACAGCACAATAGCCAGCCTCAGTGGATGCTTGACATGTACTTATAAAATGAATGAACTGATTTGTTGATTGAGCGAATATCTCTTCAAGACTCAGCATTCAATTCTTTTATATATATCCAGAAGTGGGATGGCTGGATCATATGGTAGTTCTATTTTTAATTTTTTGAGGAACCTCCATATTGTTTTCCATAGTGATTGCATCATTTTACAACTATACCAACAGTGTACAAGAGATCCAACTTCTACATCCCCCCAACACTTGCTATTTTCTGGGTCTTTTTTATTAGTAGCTATCCTAATGGGTGCAAGGTGATATCTCACTTTGGTTTTGATTTGCATTTCTCTGATGATCAGTGGTTGAGCATTTTTCGTAATCTTATTGGCCATTTGGATATCATCTTTGAAGAAATGTCTATTCAGGTTCTTTGTCCATTTCTAAATCAGGTTATTTGATCTTTTGCTGCTGAGTTGTAGGAGTTCTTTTCTTTTACTGAAGCATAATTGACTTACAATATTAAATGGGCTTCAAGCGCACAACATAGTGATGTGATATTTTTATACATTTCAAAATGAATACCAGTATAAGTCTAGTTATCATCTGTCACCATACAAAGTAATTACAATATTATTGATTATATTCCCTGTGCCGTACATTATATCCCCATGGCTTACTTATTTTATAACTCGAAGTTTGTACCTCTTAATCCCTTTCATCTATTTTGCTTATCACCCCACCACCTCCCCAGTAACCCCCAGTTTGTTTTCTGTATCTGTGAGTCTATTTCTGTTTTGTTACATTTATTTATTTTGGTTTTTTGGTTCCACATATAAGTGAAATCATACAGTATTTGTCTTTCTCTGACTCATTTCACTTAGCATAATACACTCTAGATCTATCCATGTTGTCACAAATGGCAAAATTTCATTCTTTTAATGGATAAGTAATATTCCTTGTATGTATGTGTGTGTGTATATATAATATCCATACATATATGGATATTAACACCTTATTAGATATACAATTTGCAGACATTTGCCCCATTCCATAGGTTGCCTTTTCACTCTATTGACTGTGACCTTTGATGATCAGAGTTTTTAAGTTTAATGTAGTCATATTTGTCTATTTTTGTTTTTATTGACTGTGCTTTTGATGTCATATCTAAGAAATCATTGCCAAATCTCATGAAGTTTTCCCGCTATGTTTTCTTCTAGGAGTTTTATAGTTTGGGGCTTTATTTTGCTCTTAATGAAGTCTCAGATAGTTAGAAAACGTAACACTTTTGGATCTGAAAGCACAAAATACTGATCAAAACCAAACCTGGGTTTTAAAATATTGCATTATCATTTAACATTAGTTAAACTTTAACAGAACTATCTGCTTTTCCCTACTCACAGAAACCTTCATTTTTACTGAAACCTTTATCTGACAAATCTTTTATTAAAGTATATGCTCCTCAATAGCAGTGGTAGGAGATGGTGATGATCCTAACAGGACAGAGTGACATTGAATGGATGGTTTCATTCTAAAGTCTCCCAGTCCAGTGCTTCTATAAGAGGCTTAAAGGTAGATGAGGGAACTGTCTTCTTTAGAGCTCCTGAAATTCTCTCATAAATTTTGAGCTCTCAGAGGGGCTCTAGACATCTTTGTCCTGCTAGGAAATTCATAAGCAGTGATTCTTCTTGGCCTAAAGAATCTTCATCCCTACCTTAAAATGATCAGAGCTTCTCCCCAGTCCCCAGATATCCAACCTATGGACACCAAAATAAATAGTATATTATTATTATAACATCCAGAAGTACTGACAGAGTCCTTTAAAACTCTTAGTTAAATCATCTATAATAAAAATATTACTTCTCCGAGATACTGAACATCTGAATGGAAAACGGAACAAGCATCTCATTCTTTTTTATAGTCATCTGAGTATCTTTGAGTATTGCTTTGTTGCAGTGTTTGGGGATTGAAATGTTTGAAATAGGGAGTGAAATTGAGATAAATTTGTGATTTAATTGAATGAAGAATTGAGCATAACTTGGTTGCCATTACCCTTTAACACATTTTTTCTTTCTACACTAATTCAGTGTATTTGAGATATTCATACATGGACAGAAAAACAACTTATTCAGTAACTCAAAATCCCATGGCCAATAAAATAAAGCAAACAGATATCAAAGCTGTAAAACACTCAATACTGTATCTACATAATGCCAAATCAGCTGCAAAAACAAAAAAGTTAAACAATTAATCAGTTAGTTACTTTTCTCCCCAAATATACCCAAACACAAATACAGACAGACTTTTCAAAATCTTCACATGGTTGACATCATATAACCAAAGTTTTCATTTTCCATTCAAATGTTCAGTATATGGGAGAAATAATATTTTTATTACAGATAATGTAATCAAGAGTTTTAAAGGACTCTGTCAGTACTTCTGGATGTTATAATAATAATATATTATTTATTTTGGTGTCCATAGGGTGGATATATGGGGAGTGGGGAGAAGCTCTGATCTATTCATTCTCTAAGTAGTTATACTAATTGAGGCTGCCAGTTGTGTTTTCAGTCTTACTGAATGGGCAAGGTCTGCCACCTCAAAGGTTACAGCCTTTGTTAAATTCGACTTTTTTGGGTAGAATGTCAGCTGGGACCTAGGAACTCTGACTAACTTGAGAGAGTGGGAGAACATGAGAGGAGTGGAGCTTAAGGTTAATATAAATGCCAATGTATAATTCATTTATGTTTTCTCACTCTAGTACTTCAGAAGTGTTGCTGAAATCATCAAGAATCATCAGCATAATCCCCTGGTTCTTATTGACAATCAGAATAACACAAAAGATTCCACAAGACTGAAATACGCAGTTAAAATTTCATAAATTAAAAAAAATTTTTTTAAAGGAGGTCAACATCATTGCTTCAGACATCTCCTTATTTCTACTTTTGAGAAAAAGTCCCAAAACTTCATATTTTGGATTATGAATCATCCAGTAATAAAATAGAAGATGAGGAAGATATTGAGGTGGTCATCGATTTTTTTTTTAAGAAGTTCACATGGACTTATTCTATTGCCTGACCTGATGAACTGTTAAATATCTGGTGAGGCTGAGTTATCATGCTACTAACATTCTCCAAATAAATGTCTTTATTTAAAAGAAACAGGTGTAAAGTATTTTCAGCCATGTAATAAAATAACACTCTATTCTCAAAGTAAGAAAATGATACTCTTGGATAAGATGAAGCTGCTGGAAATCTAGGCCACCACAATGGTCATTGGTGCACTAATATAACTAGGACATCTACTGTCAATGCTTGGCAATTATGTTTTGGTTAAAATTTTAATGTGTAGAAAATAAAATACAGATAATGGATGATATTTATAAGTACAGATAAGGGGGATGTAATGATTTCTTTTTGTGAGTGCTCCTAACCATGGGAGATGGATGGATGGAAAGAAAGAAAGAAAGAAAGAAAGAAAGAAAGAAAGAAAGAGAGAGAGAGAGAAAGAAAGGAAGGAAGGAAGGAAGGAAGGAAGGAAGGAAGGAAGGAAGGAAGGAAGAGAGAAACTTTCTAGAATTTCTCATCCATGATTATGTTGTTAGCTTTGCTTACTAAATATAATTATACCCTCTTTGATCTGCATGTCTATTAAATGGACCCTAAACCTGATATGAGATTCAGAGTGGGATGAGAGCAAAACTAGGCTAAAAGCATAGGAAAACATCCCACAAAACAAGGGCATAAAAACAGACACTGATTGTGGGAAGGGATGGACTGGGATTTCAAAATTGTAGAATAGATAAACAAGATTACACTGTATAGCACAGGGAAATATACACAAGATGTTATGATAAATCACAGAGAAAAAAATGTGACAATGAGTGTGTATATGTCCATGAATGACTGAAAAATTGTGCTGAACACTGGAATTTGACACAACATTGTAAAATGATTATAGATCAATAAAAAATGTTAAAAAAAATAGACACTGATTAGCACTAAAGAATAAGAGATACTATTGTTAGCAGCCACATCCAAGGTCTTAGATCATCCCAGAAATGTATTATACTTTGTCATATCAAAGCTTTTTATTCTATCATGTACTTTAGACAACTCTGAAATGATAAAGCAGCTAATTAAGATAAATAATAATTAAATGAGGAATGCATTTGATCACTGAATAAGATAGCAATCTCTGAAAAGATTTTGAAATGTTAGAAGGTAATGATTTCAGAGTAACTCACAAACTTGCTTATAAAGATAACTGTATTTTTAAATGTCATATACTTTCATGATTACTATTTACTTTGTGGGTAAATAGTTGAATTGTGTCCCCCCAAAAAGATATACTGAAGTCCTAACACCTACTACCTCAGAATGTGACTTCGTGGGGCCTTTGCAGATGTCATCAAGTTAAGATGAAACTATTAGGGCGGGCCATAATCCAGTATGACTGGTATCCTTAAAAAAGGGAGAATTTGAACAAAGACACAGATATGCACAGAGGGAGGACTACGTGAAGAGATACCCACAGAGGACGCCACGTGAAGACGGAGAATTGGAGTGATGCATCTACAAGCCTAGGAGTGCTGAAGATTGGCAATGAACCACCAAAATCTAGGAAGAGGCAAGGAAGAATTCCTCTACAGGTTTCAGAGGGAACACGGCCCTTCTGACACCTTAATTTCAGATTTCTTGTCTCCAGAACTGGGAGACAGTAAATCTCTGTTTTTTTCTAAGTCAACTTTCAGTACTTTGTTATGGTAGCCCTAGGAAACTAATACAATGACATGAGATATAAATGGGTTTTGGAAATTTTGAATAAAAAGGTTTTTTTCCCTTTTTGGAAAACAGTGGAATTATTTAGAATAGAAGTGACAATTAGTACTAGAAGAGATAATTCACAATTTAAAGAAAACTGGGTTTATCTTTTGTAAAGCAAAGCATCCATTTATAGTGTGAAGTATGAGCTCTCTAGTTTATCAGTTTTCTTCAGTGTTATATGGAATTATTTTCTACTTAAGTAAATCCTCACTAATTCCATCTGCTACCACAGTAATCCTGGCTCCAGAAAAATCTCTTCGGCCCCATTCCCCACTTTCCCTCCCCAAAAGTGGCCTAACCACTTGGGTCAGGCGTAGGAGTACAGCCATGAGATTATACTAACCCACAGTCAGTTGATATTCAGCACCACGGGGGTGGATTTCTTGGAGCAGAGTCTGGGGGATCTTCTGGGACATAAGCCAGTCTCTGCAGAGGGATTCACTCCTCCCAAAAGCTGGGAGAAACACCCAACCCAAGACAGTGGTCTTCCCCCGCAACTCACATAAGCAAGCACTGAAGAGTGGCCCTGCCTACTACTCTAAGACTAGAAAAGCTTTTAAGAGATTTCAGAGGCCCTCACTGTGATTTTTAATGCCTGACAAACATGTAGTGTTGCATAAGAGACAATTTCAGGCAAGTCAGGTGGCAGAATAGGAGTCACTAGTCAAGGAGAAGTATGTTGTGTAACAGCTGAAGGAGACAAACCACTCCAGTTCCTGTTTTTTGTTTCAAGGATGTTGCAAACTAGACTGCAGCTGCAGGAACATAAAGTCTGTTCAAGTTTACTCACTGTGGACAACGGGAAGACTAAGTCTGTGATATCAGAAGCCTGAATTGTGCTATAACCAGTCAGCCAGGGCAGTGGTTTGGAGACCCTGCACTCCGGCAGCTAAACCACTCTTACTGTGACAGACATTTTTATGTGTATCACCAGTTGTACCTTTTCATCGCTGAGAAGTATTCCATCACATGGATATATATCGATTTGTTTTTCCATTCACCCACTGATGGGAATCTGATTGTTTCCACTTTGGGACTAAATGATTGAAGTTGCTGTGAACATTTGTATAGAATTCTTTTTGTACACATATGTTTTCATTCTTCCTGGGCAAATACCTAGGAGGAGTAATCCTGGATCACAAGGAAAGTGCATTTCTAACTTTGTAAGAAATTGCCAAAATGTTTCCAAAAGTGGATGTACCATTTTACAATGGCACTAGCAATCAGCACTTAATATTGTCAGTCTTCTAACTTCAGTAATTCCAGTAGGTATGTAGTAGTACCTTTTGTGGTTTCAATTTGCATTTTCTTCATGACGAATAATACTAAACACCTTTTAATGTGCATATATCTTCTTTTTTGAAATGTCTGTTCAAATTTTTTGCCCATTTAAAAATGGGTTTTTTTCTTTTTATTAAATTGTAAATACTTTACACATTCTGGATACAAGTCCCTTGAGATATATATATATATATATATATATGCACTGTGAATATTTATTTTGCTTCCCTGGAGTAAGCCCTACCTGATTTATCCTCCATTTTATATATTGCTGGGTTTGATTTGCTAATCCAGTGCTAAGGATTTTTGTATATACATTCATAAAGGACATTGGTCTGGAGTGTTCTCTTCTTATAATGTCTTCATCAGGTTTTAGTATCACGGTAAAGCTGAACTCATAAAATGACATGAAAAATGGTCCCTTCTTTATTTTCTGAATGCATACAGCATTGATATTATTTCTTCCTAATACATTTAATAGAATTCATGAATGAGGCCATTTGGGTGGGCAAAATATTTTCTCTGTGTGACGGTTTTGAACCATGAATACAATTTCTTTAATAGATAAAGGCTACTGATATTTTCTGTTCTTTATGTGCTTTGTTAATTTGTGTCTTTCAAGGAATTTGTCTAATTCAACAAGGATGCCAAATTTACTGACATAAAGTTGATAATAACATTCTCATATAACCCTTTCGAGGTCTGTGGGATCTGTAGTAATCCCCCCCTTCCATTCCTGATGTTGGTAATATATATTCTCTTTTCTTGATCAGTTTAGCTAAAGGTTGATCAATTTTATGATTTTTCCAAAGAACCAGGTTTTGGTTTCATTAACTTTCTCTATTGTTTGTGTTTTCTATTCATTGATTTCCATAGATACTTTCATTATTTCCTTCCTTCAACCTATTTGGGGTTTAATTTGCTCTTCTTTACATGCATTCTTAATATAGAAGCTTACACAATTGAATTTAAACTCTTTTTTTCTAATATAACTATTTGAAGCTGAAAATTCCCTTCAACACAGCTTTAGAGCATCCCACAAATTTTAATATAGTTTTCTCGCTTTTATTTCCTTCAAAATATTTTCAAGCTTCCCTTATGATTTTTTTCTTTTATTGGTTAATCAGCAAAGTGCTATTTAATTTCCAATTATTTACAGACTTTCCGAATCTTTTTCTGAGATTGATTCCTAATTGACTTCTGTTGTAGATGGAAAATATAAGTGTGCATGAATTTAATCCTTTCATATTTATTGAAAATTATAATGATCCAGTGGGTGTTCCATATGTACTTGCAAAGAAGGTATAGGGTGGAATGTTCTACAAATGTCATTTTGTTGAAGTTGATTGGTAGTGTTCCTCAAGTCTTCTGTGTCCTTACAGATTTTTTTTTTCCTAGTTGTTCTATAAATTACTGAGAGAGGGCTGTTAAAATGTCTAACTATAATTGTGGATTTGTGGATTTCTGTTTGTACTTCTGTCAGTTATGCTTCCTGTATTTTGAAGATTTCATATTATATGCATAGACCTTTGGGATTTGTTATACCTTTATTTATTTATTTATTTATTTATTTATTTATTTATTTATTTATTTATTTATTTTTTACTGAAGTATAGTCAGTTTACACTGTTGTGTCAACTTCTGTTGTGTCAGTCTTTTGTATTTGTTTATTCACCATGGCCAGTGCTCCTAATTCCTTAGTATAGATCAAATACCTACCTGGTATCATTTTCCTTCTACCTGAAGAATTTCTTTTAACATTTAAGACAGTGCAATTTTGCTGGTCATAACTTATGATTTCTCTTATGTGAAATAGTCTTTGTTTTACCTTCATTTTTGAAGGATAATTTCGCTGGAGAAAGAATTCTAGGATGACTTCAGTAGCTTAAAGATATCATTCCACCCTTCTGGCTTGCAGCGTTTCTGATGACAAATTTGTAGTAATTTTTATCTTTGATTCTCATTACATAATGTGTGCTTTTTTCCCCTGGCTGCTGTAAAAATTTTCTCTTTATCTTGTGATTATGGGAATGTGATTATAATGTGTCTTGGTA